ATCACGAACTAAACAAACAGAGCTATACTCTAAGATAAGAAAAGTCATTCAAGCTCCTCAAGTAACGTAGCAGGTGGAGCTTCAAGAAGTCCAGAGTTTTGGAGCAGCCATCCACTTTTTGGCCAAATGGAGCAGGGCCTAAGCTTGGAGAGATTAGCTGAGGTCAAGGACACTGAGAGATGCCAGCAGACAGTCACACTGCTGCCTCGTGGAATAAACTCGCTGCTTAGTGAAGACGGGCTTAGCAGAGTGAACCCACTGCAGTCTCGCAGTTGAGGTGGGACCAGAGCAGGAGACAGGCTGGACGGAGTCAATGTACCTTAGTCGAGGCAGACAGGAAATGTCTGCTTGGTTATTATCAGAACCTCATTTTCTAGAAAACAAACCACTGGACAGCTCTTATTATTTTAAATAAGGGCTGTCTTTGTGATGAAAATGTTAAGTACCTAAGGGAAAAATGAATTTATCAAAATATGCTAGGTGGGGCTGGGGATTTAGCTCAGCGGCAAAAGCGCCTGCCTGGCAAGCGCAAGGTCGTGAGTTCGGTTCCCGGTACCGGAGAAAAACCAAAAAAAAAAAAAAAAAAAACAAAACAAAATATGCTAGGTACTTCGTCAAGCAAGTTGTACTCAATAGAATGCTGTACTCACAACTGAGTCACAGATCTACAGAAGGTTAAGTGGTTCCTGGACTCCTGGAACAATCAGGGACTTATGGTTTGGAAGACTTAATTGCCAGATCCCCATGGGGCAGCCTGCCACAGTGAGGATTCTGGAGTGCATGGATGCAACTTGTCCCCAGCCATGCAACTTGTCCCCAAGTAGTTGGGAATGAGTGACACGCAGATCACGTCTAAAGCCATCCCTGTTTTCCATCCACTCTGCCACTCAGAACCAGTGGGGCTAAGCCATGGCCCATAAACCTTTGAGACACACTTCCTCATCCGCCTGAAAGGTAGAAGTGCCTGACTCCATCCGCTCTAACCATGCTTCTGGGTCCATAGTCTGGGGTGGGAGTTTCTCTCATTTGGAAAACCATAGAAGTTTACCCTCCTTAACAAGAACGAGAAGAACACAACTACCAAAAACCCCCCAAGTTTAAAGGAATTATGACCTAATTTGTTGGAACCATCAGAGGCCTAGGATGTATCCAAGTGCAGTCTGTCTGTCGTTACTGAGAGGTGCAGGGATCTCTGAGGCCTGTTTAAGTGCTAACAGTGTTCAGGCCAGCATCCAGTCAGAGGAGATGGTTCACAGATACAAACAGTTGGAAACAGATTTTAAAAACCCCAACAGATGTCAACAGAGAAAATGATGGTAGAGTTTAGTTAAAAAATGCACACATAAAATTAACAGTTAAAAATTTCACACATAAAATATAGAGTGTTTGCACAGCAAGAAGTTATTACCCTATAGTCTAGAAGGAAAAAATATATAAATTCAGGTGCTTATAATAAACATTGTATTGAATGCTAAGACAGACACACTGTTGAACATCTCTTGCAATGATTTAAATTCCTTGTAAATCTGACAACTTGTATAGACAAAAGAAATTCCAAGCTCTTTCTGTTCTCCTATATAAAAACAGATTCAAGGACCCTTTGTTGATTGCAAGCTCCTTCTGGGAAAGGCTTTGTGACCCTCAAAGATGTGCACTGTGGAACAACCCAGTACCTTACTTCATAGTGCCAAGGAGAATCTACTTGTGTTGAGATTTGTGCAGTGTAAACCCAATCCATCTAAAACTAACTCTCACTTCAATATGAATTTTTTTTTTTTTTTTTTTGGTTTTCTCCTGTACCGGGAATCGAACTCACAACCTTGCGCTTGCCAGGCAGACGCTGTGCCACTGAGCTAAATCCCCAGTCCCCCAATATGAAATTGATCATCAGTACCAAATACCATCTCACCACTGGGGAGTTTCTGACCTTGTAACTTTTGTTCCTTTTTATCACCCATTTACCTGGATTCATCCGCTCAGAGTAACAGCACTGAATAATCAATCTCATTTAAAACATCATTGGAGATTTTTTTGCTGGATTTTGCCATAAAATGAGCTCTTCTAAACTTTATATAAAACTTTATATACTGTCCTTTCCACAAATGCTGGGCACTTGTCTTGCGAGACTTCAAGCTTGGCTCCAGTGAGCCTTTGAGTTGGACCACACTGTAACATTCCTGACACAGCTGGGTCAGAACCCTTCTTTCTCTGGAGTCTGAATTCCTGCACAATGGACACCAATTTCTAGTTCTGCTTTACAGGGTGTAGGATGTGGGCAGGCACGTAAACAGCATGGGGTTCTACCTCTCCCAGCAATTCTTACTGTCATGCCCTGGCTTGCTTTTACACCAGCAGTTGTTTCTTGTTAGGCCAGGTTGTCCTGGATGGGTTGGTAAGGAAGGACTCAGTAGACTGGGACCAAGAAGAACTCAGTGCCCTGAGACCAACAGCTTTTCTAACTCACTGTGCTTACATATGCTTACATATGAGGCTCTGGGCATGCCTAACAGAAACCACAGCCAGACACACATACTCTGCCTGCTGTTTTTTCCACTGTCCCCACCCAGAACAGTGTCAAGACACCATTTCTATTCTATTCCCGCTCCCTCTCCACCTGCCATTTTCTTCCCTGTGCTCCTCTTCCAATGAAAGAGACCTATAAACGTTGGCTTCTTGTTCATCCTTAGAAAATTTCCTTGACTCTTCCACATACCACATCCAATAATATCAAACAACATGGGAGGAGTCCGCAGGCACTGTCTCAGTAGGCATTTCAGGAAGTTATCCCCCACCCCTTGGGATAACACATGCAAGCTGTTCTGGGGGTGTGACGTAAGCTGTGTGCACTGCTCCATGCTTTGAGACTGGTTTGCCAGTGGTTTTGTGCTGACAGTCCACAGCGGGTGTAGGGCTTCTGGGACTGCAAACCCAAAGGTGCTACCATAAGGATCTTCCACTCCTTGATCACCACAGTGGAGCAGATGTCATGAGTGGGAGGGAATCCTAAACCGAAAAGCTGCCAGGGCTTTCCATGGCAATGGCAGACACAGCCCTGTTACATATCTTGAAGGAATAAGTATTTGAGAAAACCTGGAAATTATGGGAACAGTTTTTTATTTAACAGTCTATGCCTGAATTCTCAACATAAAACTGATTTAGAAGAGAAAAACCAAAGAAAAAACCCCCAAGCCCCCAAATTCCTTAGCTATGAGACGTTTGTAGCCTTCCAAACTCAACCTTGTTCAACAAAACTATTTTTCACATTTCATTTTTCTCATCAAGGACAATTTAAACTCAGTTTAATTTTTTTCTGCTCAGAGGCATGATAACGAAAGAAATACTGAGAAATCCTGCACAAACCCTGCAAGGAAAGGATCTCTGAGAAGCCTGCTTTCCCTCCATGGTTGTGGATGTGAAAGTGCGATTGCTAGCGGCGCCCTCCTTGTTCCCACACACGCTCAGACATCTTTCCCTCCGTCCAGGGTCCGTGCCTATGGTTACGCTCTTCCTCGGAGAGAATGCAAACCTTGCTCTTGTTTCTGCTTCACTCATTTGCCAAGGGCAGGCAGGGTGGAAAGTTTACTTGGGGACATAAACCAAATACAACCGCAAATATATGTACATTGTTGTAGAAAAGCAACATTCTATAAAAAGTATAAAAACACAAAAAACATTCCCCACCATCTTCCAGGCAAAGCTGACGATTAACTCCTTAAGTCCTGAGATTTCCTTTCTTCCACAGTGACCTGCTAATATTTGCCTCACAAGATCCCCTGGGATCTGTATGTTTTTAACTCTTTCCTGTTTAAATATCCAGCCCTGAAGCAAGTTTTAAAATGAACTTATTTACCTCTGTGGCTGGAACTGCAGACTTTATTTTTAATCACCCTTGGAAAAGACCCTAGAGCTCATGCTGATTCAGTTTTGATGTTGGACTTAAAAGAAAGCTCCTCAGCTCTTCACCCTGCCAAGGGGCACAGCAGCTGGCAAAATGTTTTCTTGGTCAGGAGGGAAAGCCCGTCTCACTGGCCTCAGCACTTGGACTCCAGTTAGTTCACAGACACTGCTTACCCATGAAGATACCCAAGGCAGCTGGAAAGCCTGGAAGTCACACCGGAAGAAGGAAGTCTTCACATCTGTGAGGTGCCTACTCTGTTTTCTGCACTGTGAATTTCCCTGGAACTGTTCTTAATTAGCCTTCTATTTTCCCAAATGATCTTCAACTTGAAAGGACAAAAAGGCACGTGTACTTTCAGATTGTTGTAGGAAGGATCAAACTCCAAACAGGGCCCCCTTTGCCTAAAAAGGAAGTCTGAAGCAAGACGAGGATAGTTTCCAATATCCTCTTCATTTTAAATCACTTTTTATAGTGATAAAAAAACTTACAAGAAACACAGACACCACCTACTGGGTAATGCACGTTGTCAGGGAGCACGCTACGCTTTTAGAGGTAGACCATTGTGTGGTATCTCCGAAGGATAAGGCCTTACGTACACTGTGTGCTTCAGCTGGGTAGTATTTCTTTGCCTTTTCAAAACACACTGAATCAAAACCAAAAGCCCAAGGGTTTCTTGCATGTAGTTTTTCTTTCTTTTTTTTTTTGGTCTGAACCAATTTTCACATTGTAAACAAAGAGCATTATACCTTGCACTTGAGTTTTGCCTATTTCTTCCTAGGGAACAACTACAAAGGAGTTTCAATGACCATCAAGATAATTCCATTTTCACGGCTGACATAGAATTCTTGCCCTTATAGTCTTTCTGGTGAATTATTAGGAAAAAAAGTTTATTTACAGTATTTCTGCTTTTCCATACCAGCTGTGAAATTCACATTCTTAAACTCCCATCGGCAAATGCATCACTGCCCTCCAGTGTCCTCTCAGTGACTAATCCCAGAAGCTGCAAGCCAATGTCTAGAATGTACACTATTTACAAATGAGCGTCCATGCTCCTAGCCGTCCAATCAGCAGGGCCCTTGGGAAGCGCCATCACATGCTGGGATCAGAACTTGAACAAGTTGATAAAGTCCTGGGGTGAAAGTGAAACAGAGCAGCTCTCTGGGTTGTTGGCTGTGCATGGGTGGTCAGTGCCCTGGAAAGGAATGTTCTGGTCAGGTTCAAGTTTGAACAGGCATCTCATTCGACTTGGGGACCATAAGGCATTGCCCAACTTTAGAACAACAGTTCTCTATCAAGTATACTACAGCATGGAAAAACTACAGCACTGTGTTTGCCTGAATATTACCTGTGCACACAGAGCTAGGAGCAGCTGGGGGTGAAGGGCTAGAGAGAAAAATAAGGAAAGGAAGGTCTTTCAGGTTTCTCCTCTTGTGCAGGTACTGAAGCAGTTTTACCCTCTCCTAGACCTGGGGCTGAGGTAAGAAAAGAGAAGAAAGGATGTGTCCTCCTACTGCTGGCACCGCAGCTCTTGGGGACTGGGCTAGGGGTTCCCTGAGACATATGTAGTCCCCCGAGACACATGCAGTCACCGGGGACACATACCTTCCAGGAGAGAATGTGACAATGTTTGCAAAGCTGGAGGGTGTCTCCATATTGCTCTTTCCTTGGGTAACATCGGATAAGCTTAAAATACATCTTCTTCCAATCCAGCTGCCCTTTGTCTGACAAAATTAATCGCTTGCGGATCTAAAAATTAAAACGAATAAAAATAATTGCAGGAGAATTTATCAAGGGAGTGGTTTGTGTTTTTTTGATTCTGAAAATGTTTATTCCCACCCTCCTCACCCTTCCCCTCCTTTTTAAAATCTCTGCAATAGCCGGGGAGGAGAACTGTCAGGATCTGCAGGAGCGCTTTCTCAGCTCTCCTGGTTACACGATAGCTTTTACACAGTCTTTAAGTAGGTGGCTGCTGACATCTCACTGGTGGCCTCTACTTGATTGCCTTGCATGGTTCTTTAAAGCTTAGCTCATCTCCATTAACTGCTTGTCTTTGCTTTGCTATGGAGTTGAGTGATTACTTCCAGAGAGAATACAGGAACTGCTCGGCAGTGTGTCTCACTGTGTATTTAAATATCTGTGGCTCCATGAGCAGAACCTACTGAATTCACACACCTGTACAAAAAAACTAGAAAAACAAATTGGAAGCAGAAGTCAGGAGGGAGCAATCCATGAGTTGGTGTCTTGTATGGTTTAGACCTGAATGTCCCCCCAAACCTCCTGTGCTTAGAGTGGGGCTCAGAGGGGACTGGATCATAGGGTGCTGTGTTCATCAGTGGATTCACGTGCTGCTGCGTTTGTGTTGAGTGTGCTGTGAGGACATGGGCTCTGGTCAGGAGAGGTGGGCCACTGGGGTGTGGCCTGGACGGGTGCATCTCCCTCCCTGGCTCCTCCCTCTTCCCTCTGTCAGGCCCTTCCCCCATGCAGACTCTGCCTGGGACCAGCCAACCATGAGCTGTAACCGTGAACTAAAAGGAACCTCTCCTCATTTAAGTTGTGGATGTTGAGTATTTTGTCCCAGAGACAAAGAAAACGACAAAGAGTGTCTGAAGGACCAGATTCAAGCTTAGCCGCTGTTATCTCGCCTGGGACACTCGTTCACTAACATGGAGACCTATTTAACTAGGGAGTGGTTGCCTTAGTCTCATCCTCTGTTTAATGCAGGTGGCACAATACCTATCCTTCCCTGGGTTATGTGAATACAATGAAATAGTATCTGCAAAAGCACTTGAATCATAAAGTACCATAAAATGTACATCATTTACTTTTTTTAGAAAGAAAGGATGCATGCCTATTTATGAATTTTTTGAGTTGTAAAATGTGATTAGGTTAAGAATGCAGGTTTTTTTTTTTTTTTAAATATGAACTACCTGAAAATAAGAAACCACCTCACCCCTTCATTTAGAAACTCTTTCGGCCAGTGGTCGTGACCCCGTAGCATGTGTGCCGCGGTGGGTGTTGGTATCACTGAAAGCTCGGAAAGGTTCGCCATCACTCCTTAGACTGTCTACCAGACAAGGAGCCAGCGAGCATGCTGAGGAGGATGCTGGGGGAGTGGGGCAGGGAAGGAAGGGTTCAAGGGGAGCTGCTGGGCCTGCTCACCTGCCGCTCGGAGAAGTGGTACTGGCAGAGATTCTTCCACAGCAGCCGGTCCTCACTCAGCACATGCAGGTCAGGGGCCACCTGGCCCAAGCTGACCAGGTCACGCCCGTCACTCAGTCTCTGCATGATGTTCAGTTGTAAGCACAGGGGCAGGTCGGTGAATGTGAGGCCTTTGAAGGCAGGCTGTGGAGAGAAGGACAGCGGGGGTCAGAGAGCAGCCATTCTGCGGGTGACACCTGCCAGGAGGGCCCTTCACCCTCAAGTTGGCTTATCGACCAGGTCAAAGCAGTGACCCTCCCCAGCCTGCGTGCAGAACCAGGTCCTGCTGCTGAGACTCAGGTCAGCCTGGTGTGGCATGCCCGAATAGCGCCAGAAGGATTTTCCTAATAACCACAAAGCTTTTTATTTTTTATTTTTATTTTGTTTTATTTTTTTTTTCTGGTACCAGGGATCGAACTCACGACCTCGCGCTTGCCAGGCAGGTGCTGTACCGCTGAGCTAAGTCCCCAGCCCCCCACAAAGCTTTTTATGTTTACCCTAAAAGATACCGCAGATGGCACACACTGGGTTCTCGCGCTTCACTTAGTTCAGTGCTCAGTTATAGGAGGTGCTACCTTCCCGAAGGCTTCCTCACTGCCCCAAGTGCCTGGCTGCACCCTGGCCTCCTGTCTCACTGTCCCTGTGACCTGAGATCCTTCCATGCGGGTTTACTCTCCAACACCGAAACACACCTGGTGCACCTGTGGGCACACACACATACACACACACACACACACACACACACACACACACGCATGCACACTGCTGGTCCCCTCTCCTGTCCCTCGGACCCAGTGCAAACCCAGTCCTCTCAAAAGCCTCTTCTGCCTTTGTAATTCTCCTAGGCCTATTCATTGCACTTTCCTAGAACTCCTAGCAGCTCCTTTAGATGCTTTCTAATGTCCATTTTATGCAAAGCAACCCATTTCTAAAAGAAACTCTGAATGGAATACTGCTGCTAGAACTTAAGGTCTGTGAAGGCAGGAATTTTTATTTCATTCTACTGCTGTGCTCTCAGTTTTCAGAAGAGTGCTGCGGGCATAGTATGGACTCAGTAAATATGAACTGAGTAGAATGAATGAAACCCAAATAATTAAAAAGGCAAAAAAAGAATGACACAAAGATCCTGTGTTGTGTGTATATTTTTGTATGTGTGTGTGTGCTGGCCCAGAACCCATGGGCCAAATCCTATAATGGCCTGCTGTGGGGGCTGCGGCAATGAGCTCTTTAGACTGGCTGGGCCTAGAAACATAAGCCATTCTAGCACCACACATTCCACCTAATCACAGAGGGCCACACAGGAGCCGCAGAACAGCTGCACACCGGAGGCCCTCAGTAGTGGTTGCTGACGTGTCTGGAACAGCCACGCTCTATCTGTATGCAGATAAGATGACTCCCCAGCATTGTAGAGCATTGTCCTTCCCCTGCTACTTTAGGGTGGGTTCTCGATTTTGGACGACTGACATTTTTAGCTCAGTGTTCTGTCACCTCCAAGAGGTCAAAGGAAAAAAAAGCATGTAGGATGCAAACCCTTCCCTTAGCTCAGGGAAAAGGCCCTGGGAATGGGTGTCAGTCTCTTTGACTTTTTAACGAGCAAAACTTGTAGCAAGCACACCCAAGGCCCGACACATGGAAGGTTCCAGGGCCCTCAGTCCCAGCAGTCATCTCTGTCTCCTACAAGGCAGGACTGGCACACAGTGAGACAGTGGGCAGTGGCAAGGGGCCTGGAGAAGGGGGACTATGGAGAGGGACTGGGGTGACATGGGAGGCAGGATGACACTGGACAGACGAGCAGCAGATCTGGTCCTGGGCTTCTGGGGAAGACGGGGTCTCAGGTTCCTGAGATCCAGAATGACCAGCTGTAGAAGATCAAAGATCCTCCAGCTGTAACCATCTCAGACTTGGAGCAACCTGGCCTCCTGTCCATCAGAAGTGCCTGGGCCTGGACTGTGCGTGTCACGTACTTCTACCCCAGGCTACCAGGCTGAACTATCAACTGCACGACAGTCAAGACTGCAGGACTGCGGAAAGCCTTGGCCCATCTGTCACCTATCATCTGCTGCTGATCACATGAACTAATAAAACTGCCGTGAGACTTTCTTTTTGTTTCTAGCACTTCAAAGCCTCTACTTGTTTGGTTAAAGCTCCCAAGCCAATTACTACATTAACTCCTATTAAAGGCAAGTTCACTGGGAAGAGTTCAACTCTGTCAAACTTTCAAACCTGCACTTTTCCAAAATCCTTACCCAGACCCCATGCCAAGCCCTTACTCCTGATAACAGTTAACTGCTTGCATGCTTTCTTTTTGAATATAAACATATAAAAGAAAAATACGTCATTCTTGCTCTTCCAGTCAAATAGTTGGCCCAAATCCATTCATGTCTACCCTGCCCCCAGCACTTCAAAACAATGCCCTGCCCACAGCATCATAATTATACTTGCTTTTCCCCTCTATAAACCAGTTGTTAATTTTTTCCTTCATCCTTTATTATATGAATATTTGCCAATAAAAATTGGTTCCAAAGAATTAGATATGAAACTTTTGAAGGAAAACAAGATGATGTGGTGGGAAGACACTGGCAGAAGTCTGGCACACAGAGAAGGCTTACTGTGAAAGTCACCTTACATTTCCATGGAATTATATACTTTTCTTCAGGCCGAACTGTCCAAAAGTATGTCTTAAAATACAGCTCAGACTGAAGTAATTAAGTCCTCACTCCTCTGCAGAGCTGGGCATTTATGTGAACAGCTCTTTGGGGCCCTGGGCTCCAGCACAGCTCTCAAAATAACACAGCCCAGAGTCTAGCAGGCTGGGGCAAGGACAGCAGGGAGGAGGGAGCAGCAGTGAAAACCACAGTCTCTGTGGACAAGCCTAGTTCAACCCGTGCTAGTCCGACTGGTATTGAGGCCCCAGATGAAAAATCACACTGGATGCTCAGATTCAACCAACCATGGGTAGAAAGTATTCAAAAAGAGTCAGATCTGTACTGAACATGTTCAGGCAGTTTTTCTTGTCACTATCCCATATACAATAAAGCATTGTAACTATTTACAGAGCATTTATGTTGTACTGAGTATTAGGCATGATCTAGAGATGACTTGAACTATATGGGGGGATGGACACAGGCTCTCCTCAGGGGGTCCTGAAATCAATCCTCTGCAGACACTGCTAAGGACGACTGCATCAACTACTTAGTCTAATTTTTCTCATTTATAAAACAAGGAAGGGGCTGGGAATTTAGCTCAGTGGCAAAAGTGCCTGCCTGGCAAGTGCAAGGTTGTGAGTTCGATTCTTGGTACCAGAAGAAAAACAAACAAACAAAACAAATATAAAACAAGGAAATGCATATCCTACAGTGGTGCTTGGTGCAGTAGAGGAGAATGCATGTAAGTACTTAGCACAGTGACCAATCAATTTCAGTGATTAGAACTACTTAGTTATTCACTAGATGAATTCATTAATACACATACAGGTCTTAAAGGCACGTGTGTGCAAAGCAAGCCCTTGATAACAACACATGAGGGCTAGGGAGGGAGCTCAGTGGCAGAGCACCTGCCTGCATGAGTGAGGTTCTGGGTTCAATCCCCAGCACTGCAAAACAATACCTCAAACAAAATAAAACAACACTTGACACATTTAAAGAACCTACAACATGCAAGGCACTGTTCTACTGTTTTCTATAGATTAACACCAGGGCATCACTGTGCGGTTTTCCAAAGTGAGGCATGGAGAGACTGAATAATTTGCAGTTGGCCATCGCAATCCAGGGCAATACTTTTCAACTGTTTTCCTTAGAGTGTTGAATAAGCACTTCAGCAGGCAGTAGGGTGGGACAGCATTTACTTACTCAACTAAAATTTACTAATTGCCTCCTGCTCTATGCCACGTATAGGGAAGGTGAGGATATTATCCTTTCTTTGTGGAGTTTATAAACCAGTGGGTGGTGACAAAGAGGTGCAGGTGTGTGAGATGATTTCAGATCACAGAATATGAGGAAGTGATAGTGACAGTGGCTTTCATAGATTGGACAGTCAAGACAGGCCAGGAGGCTGGAGGCCCTGAAGCATGACCTTGCTCGATATGCAGACGGCTCGGTTTGGCTGGAGCACCTCGAGCAGGAGGGGGAGGACATGAACTTCCGTGTTTGATCTCTTCTGCAGAGGATTTAACTGCATTAAAAAGGTTTTTTAAAAAGATGGATCATTGTATAAATAGTTGAAAGAAAGCTGGATGGGAACAAGGTTTGGAAATCACTGGCATTAAGCAAGCTTTGTCACTGTAGGAATGAGGAACCACGGCTCCTACCTCAGTTCTCATATCTGCTGTGGTGTAATGCTGGGAAACTCACTGGCTTCTCCATTCCCACCCAGCCCATTCATGAAGGGTGACACTGCAAACAATGGCTACCTGCCAAGAGTGTGTGGGGACCGCAGGGAGGGCTGTGAGGCTGTCAGCCCATGGAAGCACAAGGTGTGTCGGTGCCTGTGGCCAAGAGGGGTTCTTATGGGATGGAAGAGGACACAGGGCAAGCGTGACCATCTAAATGGGTGTCCCGAAGCTGCTGCAAGGCAGATGTCCCAGGGACAAATGGGACTTGCTCACTGTGTCAATGCCTGGGTAATCCTCTCCTGGACTGAAGAGAGGGAATATTAAATCCAGGTCACAGAGAATGCTGGAAGTCACGTAGAAGTACAGGTGGGCTTTGTTTTGTGAGCCAGAAGAACAGAAATTTGGTCACAAATTCGTACTGTCAAACTAGGTTTATACCTTAGGGATGGGTTTAAGGTAAATTATTAAGACTGGATCAGGTTACTGTTCATAACAGGTACATGCTCCTAAATAATCAAGTAACTGAGATGGTTTCTAAAAAGTGACCTGCGTTTATGCTCCGTGCCACATGCAAGTGTGTGTGTGCACAGGGTGTATGTGATCTGGCGTTGCTGCCCAAGGGACTCAAAGGAAGTCATGCAGCTCTGAAACTTTTTTTTTTTTTTTTTTTGGTACCGGAAATTGAACTCACGACCTTGTACTTGCCAGGCAGGCACTGTGCCACTGAGCTAAATCCCTGGCACTTGATGCTTCTAATTATTCCTACTGTTTCAGCGCTTAAGGAATCAAGGCACAGAGAAGTTATTAACAACGAAGTCAAGGGTGGGCATTTTGAAAACTTCATATTGTGAATAAAGCTACTGACAAGAGGCCAGAGAGGTCTCCACTTGCTACCTTCTCCTGACAGAGTGCAGCCCTAAATTGTATCGGCCTGGGTCCCGGAAGCCACCCACACAGCCACGGTGAGCGATTAGATAAGTGAAGTGCGACCTGAGCTGTCCCAGTGTCTGCCCCTCCATGAGCCCTAAGTGATTACTCCAGCATCTCTTGCGCTTTTTTTTTTGGTGTGTGCCTTAGTTTTCCTGATCACTAGTAAGAGGACAAGAGCTGAGGGTGAATGAGGCTGAGTTGCACTTTGGAAGCCAAGAGAAACTACTAATACACGTGGCCACATTCTGCTGGCAACACAAGGCTTTCTTCCTCTGCCTGGTAACTGCTCATCACTGTCTTACAAGCACGTGCACAGCCTGCCGTCGAGGGCTTGCTCTGCCACAACCACCAGTCACGGGAACGAGAATTCTAGAAGTCTGCCCAAGTTCCCCAAGCACCAGTTTTTCAATTCCCCGTCTTTACAACTCAGTTGTACTCAAGGCAGCTTCCCAAAGCTGCCAACAACTCATTCTTGGTGAGGAAAAGGCAGAGCACTTTCTGAACACCACTGAAGACTGAAGCGGGACCTCCCCAAGCCAGCTTCCCACATTCCCACGGTGTTTCAGCTGGCTGTCATCTTTCACATACTTTGATCTCCATTTGTCAAGTTCTTCCTGCCCCTGTCTCTCAGGAAGCCCCCCTCAGCACAGGACGAAGCACAAAATCAGAACAGTGCAGACTCTGCCATCAGCCATCACGGTGGTGGCGGGAACCGAAGTCCTGGCGGGGCTGTCCCGCCTCTGGGTGGTGGAAGCAGTGGCTTGGAGGCGGCGCCCTTCCTGCTTACCCTGGTGATCTGGATATTGTTCAGCTGCTGCTGCCAGTGCAGGATGGTCTCCATGCGGTACACCCACATGTTAATGTTCCCCACCAGCACCGACTTGCCGACTCTCTGGACCAGTGTACATAAGGACGTGTAGAGGGTCTGGAGCAGTTCTCTGATCAGTCTAATGTTTTGCTGGTCTTCAAGGACTGAGTGGGAAAGAAAAAAAGAAAGAGTTACAGTCCTGGCGCACTGTGTGTTATGTAAGGGCTCTTCTTCCCTGTCGGCTCCTGTTTCCCAGGCTCCGGCTCTGGGGCTCAGGTTTCCTTTCTCACTGGTGTTTATTCTGCACTTGGGCAGCCTTTTGCACTGGAGGCTGGTGGGTAGGGTTTCCCTTATCTAGGTCCCTTTTGTTCTCTTCTCTCCGGTTTCCATAAAGCTCCTATCCCCTTTGTGCTGCCAGCGCAAATGGCTCACCTGATCGGAAAGCTGCTGCTTTTGGTCAGCAGTGAGAGCTTTTAGATGGTAAGTGGGAGAAACCCTCTGTGAAGGGTTAGGAACTTGGGTCCTGATCTTGTCTGGCTAATCTCTGTGATTATGGACAAATCACTTATTATGGGCCTCAGTCTCCCTGTGTGCACAGTGACCTAAGTTTCTTTCTAGCTTCGACAGTCTATGAATCCACTCTGCCTTGTAAACAGTTCAATTTTCTAGGAGGCAGGAGGTTCAGTACCCAAGGGTGGGATGTGTGCCCTCATCAAGACTCAGGAGACTTGGAGTGGACAAGAGGACAAGCCCCCAAAGCAGGAGCATGACAGTTTCATTCTTTGCCATGGGCATGGATTGTATCTTTTTCTGAAGTGGACTCTGGTACCACTGACGTGTAGCTGGAGTTACTCATTTCAATCCACTCATATTATTTTAAATCTCATGACATGTCTGGTCTATCAGAAAAGCCATCTGCCCATCCCTATGCCTATAAAAAGGGTGAGAGAGTGTGAAGCTCACCTTTCAGTACCACTTTTTCCAAAATGTTCATGAAGTTCTTTTGGGCGATGCCACTCAGGGATGTGAGCTGTGACTTTGCTATCAGTTCCAACAGCTGTGGATAAAAATAGAACTTGCCGAGCTTAGAATACAGAGATATTTTTCTCCTGTAATCTTCCCTTTGAGTCACAAGACACGTAGACACAGGCTGACAGAGAGAGATAAATGGCAGGCAGGGCCGCCAGGCAGTCAAAAGCAGATGCTCAAAGTGAAAGACAAACAGGGGTAACCCAAAACCTGGGAACTGGGCTGAATATTTAATTGCTTTTTTCTTTTAAAATGTAAAGTTTTGCCTTCAGTCAGGGCTAATCCATTCCACTTGCCCTACTTTGGCAAGGGACGCTGACAGTACTCTAAAGAGAACAAAGCCTCCCGTGACCCGTGAACGTCTGAGTCCTGCAGAATCATCACATGACGGGAATTGTTCTGACCCCCCTGGAACCTCTATCCCACTCCCACCATCCACCGTTCTCAAGCCACCTACAGCTCCTGTTCAGCAACTGTGTGCATTTCCCCAGCACCTCCTGCTTAGGCAGTGTGCACAAACATGCCTTAGTTAGAATCTCGCATGACACTCAATAGAAAGGCACGAGTCAGGGAAGGAGAGCTCTAGGGATGTATAATATGCAAACCTGTGTCTACCAGAGGCAGTGAGGTTGCTGTGGCCTCAAAGCAGGACCTTGTGCTCTCAGCCCTAAGTGAGTCCTGTTCTGACTGCTCGTTGGCTCCATGATACGGGAAGGGCACCTGCTTCCTTGGGGTTCCAGTTTCTTCATCCCTATTGCTAATACCTAGAGTTAGGCTGTAAGTGAGAGAATGCAGATAGACTGCACCCCCAAACTAGGTCCTAAATAAAGGCTGGTTTGTTGAAGTCCTACTACTATAAAAAAAGAAATTAAAAAGGAAGAGAAAAGCTGAGTTGGCGTGTTCTTTCTTCAATCTTTCTTTCCTTCCCTAGTCACATCTTACGCAGGCATGGCATGATTTAAATAGCATCAAAGAGAGTATTCAAAGGGTTTAAGGTCAGCTAGCTCAACTCATTTCACAGATGAGAAAAGCGAGACTCAAGAGACTAAGGTTTACTCCACAACCATCAAGAAGACTCAGCCGTGTTCTCAGCGCAGGAAAGTAAGAGGACAATGCTATGCCTTCAAAGAGCCATTAAGTGAAAGTGTTCATATGAAGTGAAGATGCTCCATTTCCTCAGAAACCACCAGGCCCAGTAAAACTAACTCTGTAAACTAGACTTAGAAAACCAACTCCTTATTTCTGCTAAAGTTGGGTCTCTGCTTCTAGGAAAATTTCTACGAGATTTTCACCTGGCTCAGCTTCGCCCAACTTTATTTTGGGTCCATAATCACCACCTATGACACAGTGCTGGGTGCTAGAAAACAGACTGAGGGTAAGTAGCAAGGTGAAATTTAAAACACTGGTTTGCAAAGGAAAACTGGGACCGTGGATAGGTCTGCTGGGCTGTTCAGAGTGCCCCTGCCTCCAAGGCACCTGCTGAGATAGTCTGTCCCTGCCAAGCCCTTCAGGTGCTTGTTAAGCCACGTACAGACTTCATTTCCTGAACATAATTCTACTTTAAGTAGAAAAAAACTCCACCAAAACCCCAAATGCTTTTCCTGTCTTGCTTTTGTATCTCCACGTACTGAGAGACGCACCACTGGTTTGCCGGGACTGGTACTGGTGATCTAAGGTCGGGAGTCAGGAGTGGACAGATGTCACTGAGAGAGGCAAGAAATCCAAGCTCCAGTAGCGGCCACATCTGTGACAGTGCCCACACCAGACCCTGTCTGCCTGTCTGGCCCAGCTCTGTACCAGCCAGCATGTGACAGTCAAGAGAGGCATGACAGTGGCACACGGGGACTGGCCAAACTTCTCATTTCTCTCCCTGACCGACAGCAAATCTAGAAGGCCGAGGTGAGAGTTTATTAATACCTGGAACCTCATATGACCGGTACGAAGCAAGAGAAAGAAAACCAAAGCCTGGCCTCGGCTGTTGTTGAAAGGCAGCTGGCGCCCAGCCGAGACTCATCACCGCGTGGGCGTCGGGGTGGGGGTGGGGGTGAGGTCAGATGTGGGAGGAGGCAGGTGCTCGGCTCTGCCTGAGATCCAGCCAGCATTGTGACCCCTACCTCATGAGGGTGTCAGTTTTAATCTCGTCTAAAAATGCACCAATTACCAGGACAAAAAGGCTCCAAAGGCCCTGACTCTGCATTTAAGAGAAACACAAAACCTTCTGGAAGGGCTGAACTTATCTTCTCTGACTAAGGAGGGAGGGGGAGAATACAGCAGCATAAATTTGACAACTGACAGTGGAAGAACATGCCAGCCACCGGCATTTCATCCTATCTCAGGAGAAAGTCTCTTTTTTCCCTGCCAGCTGTGCAATAGGAAACCTAGATTCTTCAGCACAGTGACCTTTACAGCTGTCATTCATTCAGCAAGTATTTCTGAGTGTCCACACTGTCCTAGTGTTTCGGTAGGTGACAGGGTCTGATGGTAAAGACACACGATCCCTGGACTCATGAAGTTTACTGTCAGCCATTTAATCTCACAGGGCCCTGGTGTCTTCATCTGTAAAATGGCAATACTGTAAAAAGAAAAGACCACTGCTTCACAGGGTTGTTACAAGAATCAAGTGAGGTAAACCTATAAACATCTACCATCAATGCCAAATCCACACTTGGGAGGCTGAGGCAGGAGGATCATTGCAAATTCAAGACCAGCCTGGGCTACAAAGTAAGCGCAAGGCCAGCCTGAACCACATAGTGAGACCCTGTCTCAAAAAGACCACCCCGCCAAAAAAAAAATCCAAAGCCCAATCTTCAGTGAAGTTTAAAGTTGACATCTAGGGTTGGGAAACGTCTATGAAGGGCCACATAGTAAATATTTACCATGTGGCTTCTATAGTAACACTCAACTCTGTAGTTGTAGCACAAAAGCCGCCATAGACAGTATGTAAATGAATGTATGTGAATGTGTACAATAATACTTCATTTACACAAACAGGGGGAGGGCCAGATGTCGCCTCTCTGCTGTAGTCTGTCAACTTCTGGTACACGGTATAGGGGTTTAAGAGAGTGCTTCAGAGTCGGACTGCCTGCCTCACTGTTCCTGTCTGTTGGAGACACACATAATGGAACTCACCTCAGAGCTGCTGTGAACACTGGATGCGTTCACAGAGCACTCACAGTTTTGCCTGGCACCAAGAACACACTCCACAGATCATTATTATTGGCTTTTATCACACCACAGAGAACACTAGAGATAAAATTATTTACAGACAGAGAATAGTGAGTTAACATCTCATTCAAAGGCCCCTTGTATTTTATCTGTGTGTGCTGTTGACTAAATGCTTTCCAATTTTAATGTCCTTTTCTGTCATCTTTATGATGTTTGTGATGCATCTGATAGCTCATCTGTTGGTAAAGGTTGATACTGATAACCTTTTTTTTTTTTCTTTTAGAGAGTAAGAGAAGGATAACAACAATGGGGGGGGGCTTACCAACTTACAAAGTGGTAGGAAATTATCAATGGTTATTGTTTTACACATTGTTATCTACAAGATAGTTTCTCAGGAAAACAAACAGACAAATAATAGTGAGTTACAGACAAAAGAGGTAGGAGATTATCAATAGTTGTTGTACTCTATTTAGGTATCTTTGAAAGAAAATGAATAGAACTATACATGAGTGACCTATTGAATAATCATTAACTATTCTCAATGGTTGTTGTAGGAAACACATAATAATAAACATGCATCCATTTATGAAATAGGATAGGAACAATACAAACATTACAGAGTCTGATAACCTTTTATACCTCGCTTAGCTGCATTTGCCATTTTGCTAACAGTTCTCATTTTGCTAACAGTCCTGGATGTTTACTATGTGCCAGCGACTGGGCTTCGTGCTTCACATGCATGACCTTCTTCAGTCTGCAGTGACAACCCAGTGAAGTAGGTTCCCCATGTGGCACATGGAGCTACTGAGGTCCAGAGAAGATAAGCAGTTCACCTAACGTGCTCACATATCTGCAGTAGCAAACAGGAGAGTCAACTTGAGCCCAGATACACGTAACAGGGAGTATGCCTTTGGATACCTTAGTGACTTTTGTTTGTCAAGGCCAACCACTTTTGCACATAAGCCAAAGCCTTTCTCTAACAATCGTAGTCATACCATGTATTGCTATGTTTTGGGAAAACAGTCTGGAAATTTTTTTGATCAATCTTATGGTAATCAGCTTCTTATAGTAAGGGAGAAATAATACCAAGAAAATGTTAACAGCGAGTTTAGGGGAGGGAACTGTGCAGGGCAGCTGTTACCGTTAGGTCTGCTTCTCCACCAGTGTGACTGCAGCCCGGAACCAGGACGTGGTGTTGTGGGCCAAATGAGCTGGGGGAGAGACCTGTTAATCTCTTTTTTTTTTTTTTTTTTTTTTTTTTTTTTTTTTTTTTTTTTTTTTTTTTTTTTTTTTTTGTTTTGTTTTATGTTTTTCTCCGGTACCGGGAACCGAACTCACGACCTTGCGCTTGCCAGGCAGGCGCTTTTGCTGCTGAGCTAAATCCCTAGCCCCGAGACCTGTTAATCTCGCTTGTGTCAGAGCTGTGTGTGCATGGGAGCAGATTTTTATCTAGCAATTTGTTTACCAAAATGATTGACTCCATTGCTTCTTTGCCCTTAAGCCACAGAGAAAGAGTGGAGGAAAATGTCTTTTTTGGAAGTGGCCGCTTTCTGCGGGACAAGTTTCAGCCCACGTACCAGTAACTGGTGGCTGTATTTCGAGAGATGGGAGGGTGAAGGGGAGTCCCTTGGTGTCACTGCTATGTGGGCAGGGTGGGGACCTGGCACCATCTGCAGGGGCTCACTAAAGAATGGTGCCGGGCCACGGGAGGGACAGCGGGCATCCTACCTTTTGGCTTGTTTTGGAGATGAGCTGCAGAAACTGTAGTGGCAAGAGAGCCACACAGCCAATCTCAGAGTGCATGGCAGGCGTTCTGCAGGGACGTGTGCAAGATGGAAGGCAGAAGGCGACCCCCTAGCCCAC